ATCAGGAGGTCCACCAGTGGGGCCAGGACATTAGAAGCCCTCCCACTGCTGACCCCCCCAAGCACCAAGAAGACAGAGCATCACTTGCCCCAGAGTCCCTATCTATACCTTGTGGCTAATAGCCACTGATGAACCTCTGCTCCATATGCTTATCTAATTCCCTTTTGAAGCCGTCCATGCTTGTAGCCGTCACCACCTCCTGTGGCAGTGAATTCCATGTGTTAATCACTCTTTGGGTGAAGAAGTACGTCCTTTTATGTGTTCTAACCTGACTGCTCAGCAATTTCATGGAGTGCCCACGAGTTCTTGTATTGTGAGAAAGGGAGAAAAGTACCTCTTTCTCTACCTGCTCTTTCCCATGCATAATCTTATAAACCTTGATCATGTCACCCCTCAGTCGTTGTTTCTCCAAGCTAAAGAGCCCTAAGCGCTGTTGCGGGGAGAGGAAGGGCAGGAGATTGTAAGGCGCTCTGAGACTCCCATGTGAAGGGTGGGGTATAAATCCAATCAGGGTATAATCTCCTTCTGATTTCTTGGTTGCAGTCTCACTTTTGGTGGAGCCAAGGAACAGAAAATCTTGAACAACTTCAATTTCTTCATCGTCAACCTCAAAGTTGTGTGATTCTCCCGTAGTTGTAACTTTCATCTTGTTGATGTTCAGCTGCTTTTGGCATTCTCAGTTTTAACCTTCATTACTTCAAGCCTTCAAGTCACTTCAAGCCTTCACTTATCTTCTGCCGATGATGTGGTATCATCTGCATATCTCAAATTGTTAATGTTCCTTCTGCCAGTTTTGACTCCACCTTCATCAAAATCTGATCCAGCTTTCCTTGTGAGATGTTCTGCATATAGATTGAAGAGACGGGGAGATAAAATACGTCCTTGTCTAATACCATCCTGTTTCTCCATACAGTGCCCCAAGAATAGCCTCTTGTCCAGAATACAGGCTGAGCATCAGAACAATCCAATGTTTTAGCACACCCATTTCTGTTAAAACCAACCAGAACTTTTCATGATCCACGCAGTCAAGTCAAGTTGGATAAGTAACAGCTGCTGTAAACTTTGAAATTGCCAACTTGTAGAGGGGTCTGCTGCTGTGTCTCTGTGCGAGTCACTGCTCTGGGTGTGGGTTTTGTTTATTTCATGTATTATTTCAGTTTCTGTGCTGCCCCTCCCTCACAACGTGGGGCTCAGGGCAATTCGCAGCAGTGTAAAAACAAAGGTAATAAATGTAGTTAAAGCCGTATAAAAATACAAAGTATAAAAAGTGAACGATTTACAACGGTTGTTTCTGGCATCTGGGCGCAAACAAGCCACTTTCCCCCCTGCGAACTGGCAGATTCATCAAGCAGTTCTCTCAGAGCTCTCTCAGCCCCACCTACCTCACAGGGTGTTTGTTGTGGGGAGGGGAAGGGGATTGTAAACTGCTCTTGAGACTTCGAGTGAAGGGCGGGGTATAAATCCAATCTCCATCAAGACGATGAAGTGGAGAGGCGGGGCTGAGAAAGAACTGCTCGTGAGAGAACAGCTCTGAGAGAACTTGTGATTGACCCAAGGTCACACCAGCCGCTGCGTGTGGAGGAGTGGGGACTCAAACCCGGTTCACCCAGATTAGAGTCCGCGCTCCTAACCGCTACACCCAAACTGGGTCTCCTGCCCATCCCGTCTCCGCACAAATTGCTGCCTTGTTCCAAACCAGAGGAACCATCACAACTGGTGATCTGTCCAGAGGCAAAGCAAGGTTGTCCGCTCTGGGAACAGCAAGTCTTACTTCTCTGCAGAGTTCAGGTTGAGGTCTAGAATGGGACGGCTCCAGGTTTAATTCTTTAAAAAAGAATATGTGCCATGCTGCAGCTACCAGAAGACAAAGAGTGCTACAGCTTCTGGCCATCAGTTGGATGAGGGACGCTTCGGCTTCAGTCCAGGCCTTCCTGCTTGTGTATGCGCTGTGTGTGTGTGGGCTCAATGAAGCTCTCTGGTCAGCAGGAGATTCCCAGTGTACATAACGCCTGGCAGATTTATTTATTTGAAACATTTGCTGGGCCACCTTTCTACCTTGCAGAACTCCAGGCGACTTGCAGTGCAATTAAAATGACAGTTGTTTTTTTTAATTCATTCAGATGAGGCCACAGACGTCAGTGTTCCTTCTAAGCTGAGTTGGTGTGAGCTAGCTCACAGTTTTTTAGCCTCCGGCTCACACGTTTTTGCCTCGGCTCAGGAAGGAGGGCTCCAGAGCAAACTAGTTTATGCAGTGGCCAAATCGCTTGCTCCCAGGTTTCATGCCAGTAGCTGAGAAAGTAGAATTTTTGCTCACGAGACTCCACAGCTTAGAGGGAGCATTGACAGACATCCCAATCCACTCTGGCCTCCCCTGCCGACAATGCTGGCTCCTAAACAGTCCAAACTGAGCATCTCTGTTGAGGCATTCCCACGCTGGTTATTGTCTTGTTCAGGGCTTTTCTTTTTCTCCTTGGGAAAAGAGGTGCCAGGACTCTCGAGGGAAATAAAGTTTTCAATCTGTATGCTGAGAACTCACAAACTTTTAAACATTTTAAAAATAATTCTGTCGAAGAGGTTCCAGAACTCTGTTCCGGCGCATTCCCCCAGAAAGAAAGCCGTGGCGTTGCCGATTTTAATATTGATATGGGTATGTTGTAATTGTTTCACTTACACATCGTCATTGAGTTACAACTTTGGCGTGGCCTGCAGCCCGCCTTGAGCCCACTTGCGGGGAGGGCAGGATAGAGATCCAATGCTCTTGAGACTTCAAGTGAAGGGAGGGGTATAACTCCAATCTCCATTAAGAAGATGAAGTGGAGAGGCAGGGCTGAGAGAGAACTGCTCGTGAGAGAACAGCTCTGAGAGAACTTGTGACTGACCCAAGGTCACACCAGCCGCTGCATGTGGAGGAGTGGGGAATCAAACCCGGTTCTCCCAGATTAGAGTCCGCGCTCCTAACCACTACACAAAATTATTTACATTATTTATTTTATCGGACTCCCTCCCCTGCACCTCAAGGCTCAGGGCGGGTAACAAGACGTTGAAACAGTGTCGTAATTGGTTATTAAAACAATCTCATATACAAGCAGCGATAAAATCAGACGGCGACGTAGGCACTAATACAATTTATCTAGGTGAGGTTGTGCAAGCGGTGTGTTTGTAAAAAGCTGGAACACGTTGCAGTTGAGTGGCGGGTGGGGGAGAGACTTTGGTGGTGGTGGTGGTTGTTCAGTCGCACGGTCGAGTCCGACTCTTCGCGACCCCAGGGACCCCATCACGCCAGGCCCTCCTGTCTTCCACCGTCCTCCGGAGTTTCATGTTCGTTGCCTCGATAACACTGTCTCACCATCTCATCCTCTGCCATCCCCGTCTTCTTTGACCTTCAGTCTTTCCCAGCATCAGGGTCTTCTCCAGCGCGTGGTCCCTTCTCATTGGGTGGCCAAAGTATTTGAGCTTCAGTATCTGGCCTTCCAGGGAACAGTCAGGGTTGATTTCCTTTACGATGGACTGATGCGATCTCCTTGCAGTCCAAGGGACTCTCAAGAGAGACCGGGGGAGGCCAAATTTGAAGGAAACTTTACCGCCTCGGCCGTATGCCTTTCAAGCATGTTCATTAATCTTCAGATACATAATTCTTATATACACAGATTGTACCCTCGATAAAGTCATAAGACAAATTCATAAGGTGCCATATAACTCACCATACAATTATGGATGTTTGAAATATCGTTAGAGAACTTTAAAAAAACATCCGTTTTCAAGGTTCGGGAAAGATCAGACATTATCTGAGACTCTCCATTTTGCAGCAGTACGTTTTTGAAATGGGACTAACATGGCGCCGTATGAATTTGTCTTGTGACTTTAGGGAGGATGCAGTTTGTGTGTATAAGAATGATGTATCTGAAGATTAATGAACATATTTGAAATTTGTATTAGTAATTTGGTCACAGTAACTTCTGTGGTTTTGTTGTTGTGCGTTTTTCTTGTGAGCTTCTCTCTCTCTCTCTTTTGCTTGTTCAGCCGTATGCCTGGCGGAACATTTCTCTTTTACAGGCCCCGTGGAATTGCATCAGGTTCCACAGGGCCCAGATCTCATTTGGAAGCACATTTCACCAGGCTGGGGCCAGAGCAGAGAAGGCCCTGGCCCGGGTTGAGGCAAGACGGGTATTTTTGGTGCTGGGGATCACCAGAAGGTTGTTGTTCGTAGAGTGCAATGCTCTCTGGGGGGCGTACAAGGAGAGACGGTCTCGAAGATATGTTGGACCCAGACTGTGTAGGGCTTTGAAGGTTAAAATCTCCGATTAGGACTGCCAATACATTTAAATTAGAAGAAGAAGAAGAAGAAGAAGGAGAGATTGGATTTCTCCCCCGCCCTCCACTACCCCAAGGTGTCTCAGAGCGGCTTACAAACTCCTCTCCCTTCCCCTCCCCACAACAGGTAGTCAGCCGTGTTGGTCTGAAGCAGAAGAACAAATTTAGAGTCCAGTTCATTCAAGGTATGAGCCAGTTTGGTGTAGTGGTTAAGTGTGCGGACTCTAATGTGGGAGAACCGGGTTTGATTCCCCACTCCTCCACTGGCACCTGGCTGGATGACCTTGGGCAAGCCGTAGTTCTGATAAGAGCTGTTCCTGAAAAAGGGCAGTTTCTTGACAAGAGCTCTCTCAGCCCCACCCGCCTCACAGGGTGTCTGTTGTGGGGAGGGGAAGGGAAAGGAGATTGTAGGCTGCTCTGAGACTCCTTCCGGTAGTGAAGGGCGGGGCATAAATCCATTCGCTTCTTCACCTCCCTGCGGAGGATGTTCCATAATTGTGAGGCTGCCTAGGGCTGCCACCAAAAAGGCCCTTTCTCACGTGCCCACCAGCCGATATTTTTTTTTATTTGTGGGACAGTCCGGAGGGACCCCTGAGGGATCTTTGGGCATGACGAAGCACATGTCCAATGCTCTGGGTTGGATTCCTGATCTAACTCTTGGTTTTTTCTTTTCTCCCCCCACCTGCCAGGGGGCTGGCTGCACCGCCCTGGTTGTGGCTGTCGTGGCCCGGAAGTTGGAGCTCACCAAAGCTGAGAAACACGTGCACAACTTCATGATGGACACGCAACTCACCAAGCGGGTAAGCGACCGAGCGGCGGCGGACAGTTCCTTCCTGGAAAGGGCCGGGATCCATGGGGCTCTTCCACATCGCCCCGACAATGTGTTTTATTGAAATATTTATTTCCCTGCTGTGACTCATAGTGCTAGGAGGGGGATAAATAAGAGCATTAACAGGAAAGAATCAGTGGTCCATCTGGTTCAGTATCCTGTCTCCAGGGGTCATTTCCTACAGGAGTGGAGCTCCGGCAGTAAAGAGCCCAGGGGGCAGGCACATGCAACAAGCTCCACCCCCTGCTCCCAACAGCCCTCAGTCAGAGCAAGAAGCAGCCAGGTAAGCTGCAGAGCCCGGCCCCCCGGTCCAAAACAGTCCAGTGGCACCTTTAAGACCAAGTTTTGTTCAGGCACAAGCTCTCCCTCCTCCGCGAGGACAGATCTACACTCCCCCCCCCCAATAGCTAGCAATCCAAAACAGTCCAGTGGAGCCTGAGCAGTGGGTGTTGCCTTCTGACACACTTCCGGTGATGTCAGGGGGTGTGGCATATGCAAATAAGTTATGCTAATGAGTTATGCTAATGAGCTCCTGCACCTCTTTTTCTGCAAAATGACCCCTGCCTGTCTTCCATAACGGGCAACGAAAGACTGGCAAGCAGGACACAGGAGGTTACAGTCTCTCCATTTTACCATCCCCTGGCAACTTGCATCCATAACTACACTACCTCTGAACATGGAGGCTAAATATTAGGAAGAGTTTCCTGACAGTCAGAGCGGATCCTCAGTGGTGGAAGAGGCTTCCTCGGGAGGTGGTGGGGCTCTCCGTCTTTGGAGGTTTTCAAACAGAGGCTCGATGGCCATCCGACAGCCATGTGGATTGTGTGAACTTGGGCAGATCACGAGAGGGAGGGCAGGAAGGGTCGCCCCCGTGCTTAGTTCTCGTGGCCCTTCCTTACACGCCCAGATAAATTCTGATTGCTACTTTGGGGTCAGGAAGGAATTTTTCTCCGGGTCAGTTTGCCCGGGGGATCTTGGAGGTTTTTTGCCACCTTCTGGGCATGGAGCAGGGGTCACTGGGGCTGTGTGTGGGAGGGAGGTATTTGTGAATTTCCTGCCTTGTGCAGGGGGCTGGACTAGATGACCCTGGAGGTCCCTTCCAGCTCTGTGATTCTATGATGTTAGGGGTGGTTTGCCCTTGCCTGCCTCTGCAAAGCAACCCCGGACTTCCTCGGGGGTCTCCCATCCAAGTCCTAACCGGGGCCGACTCTGCTTCACTCCCCAGATCACACGAGATCAGGCTATAGCCTGGGCTGTCCAGACCCGAGCAGAAGACATTCAGAGGTGGTCTGACATTTGCCTGCCTCTGCATAGTGACTCTGGGCTTCCTCGCTGGTCTCCCATCCAAGTACTGACCGGGGCCGACCCTGCTTAGCTTCCTAGATTGCACAAAATCGGGCCAGCCTGGGCCGTCCAGGTCAGGGTTCAGTATGTGCCTCAAGTCTCAGCTGACCTTATGGAGACCCCATAGGGTTTTCAAGGCAAGGAATAAACAGAGGTGGTTTGCCATTGCCCGAGAGCCAGCGTGATGTACTGGTTAAGAATGGCGGACCCCTTAGCTGGAGAGCCAGGTTTGATTCCCCACTCCTCCGGAAGAAGGAGGAGGAGTTGGACTTATACCCCGCCCTTCACTCGGAGTCTCAGAGTGGCTTACAAACTCCTTCCCCTTCCCCTTCCCACAACAGACACCCTGGGAGGTCGGTGGGGCTGAGAGAGCTCTCTCGATGACTGCTCTTGAGAGAACAGCTCTGAGAGAACGTGTGACTGACCCAAGGTCACCTAGCTGGCTGCACATGGAGGAGTGGGGAATCAAACCCGGTTCTCCCAGATTAGAGTCCGCCGCTCTTAATTACTACACCAAACTGGCTCTCAGGTAGGCCTGCAGGGTGACCTTGGGCCAGTCACAGTTCTTCCTGAACCTCAGAAGGTGCCTGTTGTGGGGAGAGGAAGGGAAAGGCAGTTATAAGCCACTTCGAGACTCCTTCGGGAAAAGAAAAGTGGGGCATAAAAACCTACTCTTCTGTTTTGCAAAGTGACGCTGGACTTCCTCGGTGGACATCCAAGCGCTAACCAGGGATGACCCTGCTTAGGTTTCCAGATTGGATGAGATCGGGCCGGGCTGGGCCTTCCAAGGCAGGCTCTTGGATGTTCCGCCCGTCAAATTCATCACATAATCATGAGTTCCAGTATCGTGGGCAGAGGTCATTTCGGGGGGGAACGCGGGGGATCGCAGTTCCCCCGGGTGAGGTACAGGGGGGCGGGGCACATGACGAAGCCCCGCCCCCTGCTTCCAGCCGCTCCGCTTCCGGCCCTCATTCAGCCAGGAGGAGGCAGGAGAAGAGGGAGGGTAAGTTGCTTCCTCCCTGCCTCTCCCCACCCCTGCCTGCCTGGGGCCAGGGAGGGCCTTCGCGGGGCTTCCTTGCACTCCCGCCAGCCTTGCAGGTCCACAGCCGGGCCCCTAATGGGGCTCGGCAGTGGAGCTGCAAGGCCGGAGGTGGCGGCCGGGACCGTTGGGGGCAGGGTGTGTGGCCTTATGACACACTTCCGGTGATGTCAGGGGGTGTGGCATATGCTAATGAGTTATGCTAATGAGTTTACCTAGCTCTTTTTCTACGAAATGACCCCTGATCATGGGAGAAGGTTGGGGGGGGCAGGGGAATGTTTTTTCTGTCCACTTTCTCCACCCCATCCACGTCTCAGGTGTGGTGTCACCTCAGAGAGTAAAACAGCCCAGGGGAACGGACGTTGGGAAGCAAAAGACACTTTGTGATCCTCAAAGAGAAGCCTCCCTGCCATGGGAGACCCTGGTACCAGTCCAGTTGCACCCAAGGTGGCCTTGTTTGGTGTAGTGCCAAAGGAAGAGCCAGTTTTGTGTAGTGGTTAAGTGTGCGGACTCTAATCTGGGAGAACCGAGTTTGATTCCCTACGCCTCCACTTGCAGCTGCTGGTGTGACCTTGGGCAGGCCTTAGCTCTGTCAGAGATGTTCTCTCAAGGGCAGTTCTTGGGAGAGCTCTCTCAGCCCCACCTACCTCTCTCAGCCCCAAGAATATAGAGCATCACTGCCCCAGACAGAGTGTTCCATCTAGACCTTGTGGCTAAGAGCCAAATGATGGTGGGGGTCTCTATGCTGCTTGGGGGGCTCTATGGAAGTTTCAGCAGTTGTGACGTGGAGATGCCAACACTTATGAGGGATGCATGGGGTGGGGATCCCTGTAGAAGTTTAAGGTGTATTTAATGTGAGGGAGGGTTGGGCTCCATACTTCTTGCTGTTCCTTTTGACTTCTAACAGCTTTCTCCCCACTCCTACAGTCCTCACACCTCCAGCTTCATTATCTAAATTGCTTTCTCCTTGGTCTCTCCCGGTAATTTCCCCTGCTTTGCTTGTGGATGCTTTTTTTGATAAGCCAAAAATCTCGAAGGCTCATCTCTCCTGGGCGAAACTGACAAGATCCCTGAGCTGGAGAGGTGTAGGTGGGGAAGGACTCTGGGTTCTACTGGGGGGGGGGAGAGATGCCAAGGGGTGAATTAAGATCCATCCGAAGCAGAGATGTGTCTTTGGGGCGGGGCTTGTGATGTGTTCCTCAGAGGAGTCCAGAAGCAAGTGAACATCTCCAGAAGTGTTTATTGAACAGCATTGTGACGTCCTTGCTTATAGGGAAAACAGATTTACCTTTAAAGACTCTCTGTGTATATAAACTTGGTAGTTTTCTGCTGCTACCAGGAATTAAAAATTCCAAATCTCTCTCTCTGCTGGTAGAATGACCTAGGGTCTGGGCACTTCAGAGGACTACGTGGCCCCGAGGAAGTACTGTACTGAATTCTGGGATAAGTTTAAACAAAAATTGATTTATTTAATAAAGGTTTCTGGTTAATTTGAAGAGTTGCTGAAGAAAGGAACTTGTAAATATAACTGGCAAAGCTTGATGCTACAAACAGTCTCTCAAACGCCAAACTCCACTCTGACAGGCTTATACCTTCAGTATAATCTCTCTCTATCTCATATATATAGATATAGCCACACAGGCTAGTCTCTTTGTTTTACTCACACAGAATGGAAACAACTCTCTTAGTCACACAGACTAAACTGTTGGTCTTATTCACACAGAATTAGACTCAAAATCCCATAGTCACACAGACTATGCTCACTCTTCAAACTTCACATACAGAATCCTTCATAATTCTCAGAGTCACACAGAGTCTCTTCAAAACTCTTCCATACTTGTCTCTCTCATATCACAGAATCTCCTCATAGACACACACACAGAATCCTCTCAGGCACCCCTCCTCCCACACTCTCAGTCAGCAGCCAATCAAATCACACTTGTCTCCCACTATCATTCTTCTCATATTACTGTAGTCAAACTAAATATTTAAAGGAACACACACACCAAAACATGGAAGCATTACAAGCATTATTGAAGAGTTCTCCAAATTCCACCCTACCCCCGGAAGGTCACAAAGATCTGTGCACTGGAACAGCTGGTCACAGAGCCAACCAGACGGGAAGTGATCTTAGATTTGGTTCTGAGCGGGTCTCAATACCTGGTAAGAGATGTAGAGGTTGTTAAACCAGTTGGAACAGTGACAACAATGCTATTCAGTTTGGCCTTCAGGTCAATGGAAAGTTACCGCTTAAGTCCAAAACAGTAACATTTGATTTCAAAAGAGGGAACTTTGCAAAAATGAGGGGAATAGTAAAAAGGAAGCTGAAGGGGAAACACAAGAGAGTCGGATCTCTAGAGGATGCTTGGAAGCTATCTGAGACCACAGTAATTGAAGCCCAAATAGAACGCCTTCCACAGGTGAGGAAAGGCACTGCCAAGTTAAAGAAGGCCTGCATGGTTAACAACACAAGTCAAGGAAGCTATAAAAAGTAAAGAGGCTTCTTCTAAAAAGTGGAAAGACTGCCCCAATGAATTGAACAGGAGGGACCACAGACTCTGTCCAAAGAAATGCAAGTCCGTGCAAAA